GGAGAGTGCGGTGCTGATAACACCAAGGCCCCGGGTTCGGATCCCACATAGGGATGGCCGGTTCGCTCACTGGCTGAGCGTGGTGCTGACAACACCAAGTCAAGGGTTAAGATCCCCTTACCGGTCATCTTAAAAAAAAAAAAAAAAAGGTTTTCTGCATTGCAGAATATATTTTATGAATAGGAAAGGCTATGTAGTATAGTGGCTAAGAGTGCACACACTAGATCAAGAATGCCTAAGTTTGAATCCTTGCTCTTACTAATCAAGTTATTAGCTCTGTAACCAAGGACAAGATACTTAACCTCTCAATACCTCTGTTTTCTCATCTGTAAATTGGGTATCATAATAATACCTACTTCAAAGAGTTTCTGTGAAGACTGTGCATTAATATGTGTAAAATGCTTAGAACAGTGCCTGGCACATAGTAAGAACTAAACAAAAGTTAACTATAAAATTATCACCAGCTTCATGGTCCACCTAAGGATCCTGAGATCCAAAGTAAGAAACAATTGCCTTAGATCAAAACTGGTAACTGCAGGGCCGGCCCCTGCCTCACTTGGGAGAGCGTGGTGCTGACAACACCAAGTCAAGGGTTAAGATCCCCTTACAAGTCATCCTTTCAAAAAAAAAAAAAAAAATGTTAACTGCACTTTGCCAATTCTCTGCAACAATAAATCCTGTATGAAAAGATTTTTTTTCCTAGTCCATGTTTATATAACAGTCTCCTTTGTGAAAAAAAATACCAAACTGTACTGAGATTTGCTTCAAAATAATGCAGGGGAGAGAGTAAAGTAAAAGGGACAGATGAAAAAAGACTGACCATTATTATATTAATAACTACTGAAGTGGGATTATCAGCAGAAAGGGGGATGGGGTGTCATCATCTTTCTGTTTTTGTACACATTTATAGTTTGTATCAAAAATAGCTGAAGGGAGGGCTGGCCAATTAGCTCAGTTGGTTAGAGTGTGGTACTGATAACATCAAGGTCCAGGGTTCGACCCCTATACCGGCCACCCCCCCAAATAAAAGATATAATAATAAAATAAAATAAAAAGAGCTGAAGGGAAATCTTAACAGATTTTCTGCTCTATAACTGATTAGCAATTACTCTTCTACTTCCTTGTAGAAACTCACTTATACTCTCCTACCACCTTCTGAAACAGACCAAACCATTCAATGGTTAGAAGCAAGACAAAATGGATATATTTTGAACACAATATTTTCCATCTGTCCTGTTAGTTTTTCATACCACTTGCTAATTCACTAGAGAGAGAGGCTGGTCCAATTAACGTGCCACTGACTGGGAATGTAATTTCTAGTACTGCAACCAAAACAAAGTTCTGCTGTGATTATTTTGAATACTCAGGATCCTAAGATTATCTTTATCTGCATCATCATCATCATCATCATATATAATTTGAATGTTTTTTATTTGGTAGGCCCTATGCTAAAATGCATGCATTATCTTATTAAATCTAGACAACAATCCTATGAGAGATCATTATTATCTCCACTTATGGATAAGAAATTGAGGCTCACAGTTTAAATACTTGCATAGTGCCACCCAGTATTAAATGATGGAGTAAAGATCTGAACATAGGTGTAGTTCTAAAATCTATGTTTTTCAGGCTGTCCCGTGGCTCACTCGGGAGAGTGCGGTGCTGATAACACCAAAGCCCTGGGTTCGGATCCCATATAGGGATGGCCGGTTCGCTCACTGGCTGAGCGTGGTGCTGACAACACCAAGTCAAGGGTTAAGATCCCCTTACTGGTCATCTTTTAAAATAAAATAAAATAAAATAAAATCTATGTTTTTCTACTTCTCCATACCAATTCCCATTTTACATTAAAAACAGGAGAATAATGAAGTACAGAAATGATAACCTGGTCAAGGTGCACATCAAGTCCAACTAAGAGCTATAGCATGAACCTGCCGACAACGATGCCTATAATTTCTTTCACTAAATTATAAATGTTCCCTTCTGGTAAACAAAAAGCAGAACAATTCTGTTCAAGTTCTTGATTAACTACTTCACAACATTAAGTTGGCAAATATTTATTGATTGCTTACTGCATGTCAGGCACTGTTCTAGTTGCTTGGGTATACAGCAGCAAACATGACACAGCTCTATCATCTGGTGGGGAAAGACAGACAATAAACATATAGCAAATAAATAAGATAATTTCATATACTGAAACTAAGGTGATGTCATAGCAATTGAAGGGACCAGCTGAAATAAGGGGATCAGGGCAGGCCTTTCTGAGGAGGTGATATGTAAGCTTAGATCTAATCAATGAGAAGGCGGCAGGATTTGAAGAAGCCTAAGAGGAAGGCAGAGCAGATGGCGTAGGATCTGGCAGACCACAATTAAGAGCAGTTTAGATCTTAACCTGTTGCAAGGGACTATCACTGGAGGATTTTAAAGTAGAAGAACGACACATTTATGCTACAGAAAGATCACTTTAGAAAACGATGGTAATGAATGGTATAGTCAAGCAAATTAAAAGAAAACTGAATAAAATCAGTAGAATCCACCTCTGGAGTGTATCTTCAGGAAGCCTACTTGGCTTCTCTAAATTGTTTCCTTTGAAGTGAACAAAAGTCTCTTATATTACACATTATGAAATAAAGGATAAAATGAAAATATCTCTGGAATAGCTAACACAGTTACTTAAATTTACACTGAGGTATAAATACAAATTACTAAGTAATGGATGTCAGAAGCAAAAGAGAAACAAAAGTGGCATCAGGAAAATCAATAGAAAGAATGGGAATGCCAAAAACACCTACTTCACAATTTCACCTAAAGCTGACTTAGAAACCAAACTCAAACTAAAATAAGTACTACTGTAAAGAAATATGAAGTTAAATGAAAATGAGGCCCAATGCACAGACTATTTTCATTCTGCCCTTCACCACTCTGAATATTTATCTCAAAAGGCTTTATTTATGAGATAGATGGTGTTCATTAAATGTAAATACAAAACAACTACAAATTACCCTTATCTGTTTTAGAAAGTTAAATTCCATTCCACGAGGAAAACAACATTCGGGTTTTAGAAAGCCAAAAGCATTTAACTATATAAACTACACAGAATGCATTTTAAATGAAATATAGCCCTCCTACAGCTATCATTGTTTTCCTCTTAAGATATCAACAAAGGAAATAAGCTCAGGAATAACATTAATGAGAGCAAAGGCAGAAAAAATCTGGATCCACTATATCTCATCATTGCTAACAAGAAAATAAATACTGTAACTGTCACTTGTGACCCCACAAGTCAAGGATGGAGGACAACTTATTCTTGCAAATGATGTAACCATAGTTAAAGCACCAGAGCTCAAAGATAGGAAATGTAGAATGCTTGCATAATTTAGTAAAAATGTTTTAAAACAGGGTGGAGAATATGTTCTCATGCTCACATTAGGACTGATTGCCACCACTGATGCACCAAGTACATGAAACAGTATTTTACAAAACTAATGGTGAAGTCAAATCCTAACTCTGCCATTTTACTGAGTAACCTTAAGCAACTTACTTAACATTTCTAAGTCTTAATTTCCTCATTTGTAAGTCAGTGATTTAAAAATCTACTTCTCAGTAGACTTTAAGGTACATTTTAAGGTATAATGAGATGATTCGGCACATAGCACATATTTAATATGTGAGAGATCTTTGATGATGACTGTTAGCATGATATTGCATGTTCTAATCCTACCTCTTGGCAAGAAAGTAACTATTCGATCTACTATTGGTAAATACAGGTAATCCTGTTTTGTCTCTAATAACTTTTCAACATCATTATTCAAAGTACCACAAAACATCTCTCCCAGCAATAACTTTAGACACAAATGGCTTGAAGCTTAGGGCCTATACTTTTACAAGCTTTATCCATCCGTTCCTAAAAGGTAAACATAATTCAAAGCACTACAGGAGCAGTAGCAGAAGTGGAACAAGAAATAAGAATTACTGGATGATGCGTCTCATTAGTAAATTGCCATAGATAGGAAGCAAACTAAAATTCAAATAGAAATAAATGGAGTTGGGAGTTAACTCTCTCTTCTCAGCAGGAAGCAACAATGACTTCGCCGCACTTCCTCCTATAAGACTTAAATATTCTGCAAACAATCCATGCTTTAATAGGCCTCTTTTCTGTAGTAAAGCAGCAAAGTGAAAAAACTCCAGGATGAAGACAAAAAACCAATTACTGAAAAAAAGCACTATACACTCAAAAAGCACATTTGCTGTTTTGATTACCTATGAAACCAAACTCAATTTTGTAAAAAGGTATCTCAGGTGATTACATTTTATAAATTAAGATATTAGTAATGATACTGACTACAGTATCTTAGTTATTTTTTTGGTCAGTATCAAGAAGCCTGCATTTATTTTACTGCAGCAAACGCAGGTACAAGGAAATCTCCCAGATGTATACAGAGCTCATGTTGCTGCTTAACATTCACCCAGGTAAAGCCCTCCCTATTTCACATCACAAGTTTTACGTACATTCATCCAGATAAGGCCCTCCTTACCACACACCACAAGTTTTAGGTCAGCAGAAAATTCAGAATGGTCCAACATATTCCAGCGAAGTAGGTGGGTTTACTATTGCCTAAACCATAGCTTGTCTACCATCAGGAAAACCAAAAATCATTAACACGTCAAGGCCTATAAGAAATAAACGACGCTACATGAAGGTTCAGTAATATCAACCACATACCTGACAATGCTTTGAAATGAAGGAATATGTAAATCTATGGATCTGGGCCCAAGGTCACAAGTCGGTGGCTAAAAAAAATCCATGAAAATGAGCCTCCTGCAGGTCGGGACAACCCTCGCTAGGAATGGAGTCTGGGTTTGGGAACACTCGGATCAAAGCTTTAATGTGAACAACCCCAACCGAATGCAGTGACTCCCTGGGAAAACCCTAAGAGCTTGGGGCCGTGTTTCCTTCCATTTCCCTACTCTTCCCTTCCCCATTTATCCCCAACACTCACATCTCCGGAGCCACTTCATCCAATGGTAGACGATAGTGCTGTGGTGTTTCTTGTTCTCTATACACCAAGACGACAAGCCTTGAATGGATTCCATGGTGTTGGTTACCGACTGGAATTTTCGATCCAAAGAGGACTCCAGAGCTCCTGCCGAAGAAGCCGACGAGGAGGAGGCCTTACTGCTGCCTCCGCCGCCGCCGGCCGCCATCTTCCCGGTTTGCACAAGCGCTGCTATTCCTCTGCCGGGCGCGGCGGCGGCGGCGGCGGGAGCGGGCAAATCACCGCGAGTGCGTGAAAGCCGTAGGTGGGGAGGGAGGCGAGAGGGGGTGGGGATGGTGCACGCGCTGGGCTCTTCTGGACGTACGGACGGAAGGACCAGTTGCTGGGCACGTTGGCGGCTCCTACACGTTGCAAGGAGGGGCTGCGGGTTTCGAAGGTTTGTCAATATTGTTCAAGGGGTCGTGTTTAAACCAGTCAGTAATCACAGAATTACGCAGAAAACAGGACCGGCAAAGCCTTTCAAAACACCTGGCCCCAAAACTAATGGTTTTATACTCTTCGGCTCTCAACACTAAGGCCCTTCCCCACCCTTATCCCTACACTCCTTGCCAGGGCAGAAGTCTTAAATTTAATACTACCCGACTGTCCCTCCAGTTGCAGAAACTCTCTTTCTCCTTTAGATTCTCTAGCAAAGAGAAGGCCCACTGCTACCTAGTCAGGATTTTTTTTTTGCAACGCAATAGCAGCAAAGCAACAGCAACCAGTATTGCGCATGCGCTGCTTGGCCCCGCCTCCCCGCTTCCTTCCCCACCCTGAAAGCAAAGGGAGGCGGGATGGCGGGGCGATCTGACCAATCAAGGGAGGAGAACGAGAAGCGCGCGCAGGAGCCCGCAAACCCCCAAGAGCCTAGGAGGCGCTTCGATTATTCGTGCGCCTGCGCAGCAAATCAGCGGGTAGTGGGCTGGATAGAAAAACTGGGAGGGAAGGGTGATTGAGTTGGCCGAACTAAAGGGGTTTCACCGCCTCGCCTGCCTTTTGCTTCCTGGCGAGATCGCTTTCTTGGGGCTCTCCAGCTCACATAGCAGGCCTGGAAAGTTCCCACCGCCCGGAGGTCACTGTTAGTCTATGGCGACTGCAGCGGGCGCCGCCGCTGCTAACTCCTCGGGGCACCGACGCGCGACAAAATGGCTGGCAGCCATCTTGCAGCGTCGCAGAAGATGCGCGTGCGCCAGCTCCGGCCAGCCATTCACTACGCAGACTAAAGCAAACTATTTCGTACTCCCTTTGGACGATACCATTCACAGCCACTTGACCATTTGCATTATGGGAGCAGGAAATGAAACAAAAAAATTCCCTGTAAAATTTTTGAGGCGAGAAAGGACTAAATGGCAAGATATGACCTCACCTTCGCCAGTTACGATAGTGTCACAATTGCATGATACGTTAGTTTATAAGAGCCTTAGATGCCTATTATGTTCATCAGCATAGCCTCATTAGCCATCCCATCGCATCTGCCTACGTAAGTCCTCTGGGCAGATTTGGAGGCTCCTGTGTTCCCACTGAACCCATGCAACTGCATTTTAATTCTTTTATGTCTCCCTACTAGATTCAGGTTTCTTGAATCAGGGTACCCGTTTTGTCAAGTTTATATCTAGTATTAATTCAACAAAAAGTAGTTAAACGTCCATGTGCCAAGTTCTATTTTAGATACTAGGGAGTAACAGCAAAACAGATAAAAATCTTTCCTCTCTGGGGTTTAGAGACAGGAGACCACAAGCAAGTATATTTCGGGGAGTATAAGTTCTATAAAGAAGTATGAAGCAGGGTAAGGGAGAGAGAGGGTTGTGTGTGCGTGTGTGATTCTGTGTGAAAATGGGAATGGTGGTATGGTGAACTAGGAAGGCTTCTGGAAGGTGGTGACACTTGTTCTGAACGTTGGGGAAAAGGTAACTAAGCAGATATGGGGGAGAAGGAGAATATGCTAGGATAAGGAACAGCAAGTACAAAAGCCCTAAAACAGAAATGTCTTAACATGTTAGAGGAAGAACAAGGAAGCTAGTGTGGCTGGAGGAGAGTAAGAGAGGGGAGAAGTGGTAGAAGTGTACAGAGAATACATGTCCAGTCTTGCAGGCCCCTGTAAGGAATTTGGCTTTTAACCCCAAAATGGGGAGCCCTTTTAAGCAAGGGAGTTTTAAGCAAAGAAGTGTCAAAGGATAAAATTACAACAAATTTAATTTAAAGATCTTAATTAGCTTTTATTTGCAATTCTAAAATCAGCAACACATCATTCCATAAAATAGAGGAGGCAGGTTTTATAGACAGAAAAGGGCTGAGAAGAGCAGAAACAAAACAAAAGTGGATTGGTTGTTTCAAAGTTTCTTTCCTTGTAAAGATTAAAGCAGAGGGAACTTCTTTATCAAGGCCACTAAAACTGGCTTTTTGGGGAATTTGGCTATATTTCTTGGAAGGCCAGATGACTTAGTTTCAGCTTGGTGACATGAAAGTTTAGCATCAGCGACTCCATTATGGTTTGGTCTTTTGGGCCTACTCCATGAGCTCGGTCCAAACCAATGGCTTCCTGTAAATTTTATTTACCAGAAATTACGTGGTGACCATCATGGGATGTTTTAAAAATCACATCGGTTGCTATGTTGAAAATAGACTTCAGAGCCACTAGTTAGTAGGCTATTGAATAATCTAGACAACAAAATGACGTGGTTTGGACCAGAGTGGTAGCAAAAGAGAATGAAAAGTGGTGTCAGATCCTGGGTATATTTTGAAGTAGATCCAAAAGAATTGCTGGGGCCGGCCCGTGGCTCACTCAGGAGAGTGTGGTTCTGATAACGCCAAGGCCACGGGTTCGGATCCGGCCGGTTAGCTCACTGGGTGAGCTTGGTGCTGACAACACCGAGTCAAGGGTTAAGATCCCCTTACCGGTCATCTTTTAGGGAAAAAAAAAAAAATTGCTAATGGATTTCATTCCGGTATGAAAAAAAAACTAAGTATGACACCAAGGTTTTTGACCTGGACAATTAAAGCAGTGTTTCTCAACCTATTTTTTTCATTATTATTGCCCCTAAGGCTCCTTTCTAGATTTTTTTTTTTTTCCTAATCCCCCCAATCCCCATGAAATTTTAACACCCCAGATATACTATATATCTCCTTAGGTACTGTATATATATATCTGCGCTTTACACAAAACATGCGTGAGCATGAACCTTTTTATTCAATGTAGAGTTAAGAATGATGAAGTAAAAATTATAAGTTAATGGGCCGAGCCCGTGGCGCACTCGGGAGAGTGCGGCGCTCCCACCGCGGGTTCGGATCCTATATGGGGACGACAGGTACGCTCACCGCGCTCACTGGCTGAGCGCGGTGTGGCCGGTCTCAAAAAGGACAAAAAAAAAAATTATAAGTTAAAAATTACAAACGTAGGAGTCGGCCCGTGGCTCACTTGGGAGAGTGTGGTGCTGATAACACCAAGGCCACACACAGGTTTGGATCCCTATATAGGGATGGCGGGTTAGCTCACTTGGGAGAGCACGGTGCTAACAACACCAAGTCAAGGGTTAAGATCCCCTTACCGGTCATCTTTAAAAAAAAAAAAAAAAAAAAAAAACTTTCTCAGAAAACACAGTTTTATGGCCAAGCCCGTGGCACACTTGGGAGAGTGCGGCGCTGGGAGCGCAGAAGCGCTCCCGCCGCGGGTTCAGATCCTGTATGGGGCTGACCGGTGCGCTCGCAGCGCTCACTGGCTGAGTGCGGTGTGGCCGGTCTCAAAAAGGACAAAAAAAAAAATTATAAGTTAAAAATTACAAACGTAGGAGTCGGCCCGTGGCTCACTTGGGAGAGTGTGGTGCTGATAACACCAAGGCCACACACAGGTTTGGATCCCTATATAGGGATGGCGGGTTAGCTCACTTGGGAGAGCACGGTGCTAACAACACCAAGTCAAGGGTTAAGATCCCCTTACCGGTCATCTTTAAAAAAAAAAAATAAATAAATAAAACAATATTTACGTAATTTTAAAACTGTGTTTTCTTTTCTTTTTTTTTTTTGTCCTTTTTGAGACCGGCCACACCGCACTCAGCCAGTGAGCGCTGCGAGCGCACCGGTCAGCCCCATACAGGATCTGAACCCGCGGCGGGAGCGCTTCTGCGCTCCCAGCGCCGCACTCTCCCAAGTGTGCCACGGGCTTGGCCATAAAACTGTGTTTTCTGAGAAAGTTTTTTTTTTTTTTTTTTTTTTTTAAAGATGACCGGTAAGGGGATCTCAACCCTTGGCTTGGTGTTGTCAACACCACGCTCAGCTAGTGAGCCAACCGGCCATCCCTATATAGGATCCGAACCCGCGACTGAGAAAGTTTTATTTTTATTTTTATTTTTATTTTTTTCTAAAAGATGACCAGTAAGGGGATCTTAACCCTTGGCTTGGTGTTGTCAACACCACGCTCAGCTAGTGAGCCAACCGGCCATCCCTATATGGGATCCGAACCCGGGGCCTTGGTGTTATCAGCACCGCACTCTCCCGAGTGAGCCACGGGCTGGCCCAAAAGTTTTAATGCAGTTTATTTACAAATATAAATTGTAATTTATGGAATTGTAAATGCAAATTAGCAATTTATAGGCATACGTAATAGCAATATAGTCATTTTTTAAAAAAAGTCACTCAAGGGCTGGCCCAGTGGTGCACTCGGTAGAGTGCAGCACTCCCGCCAAGGGTTCGGATCCCATATAGAGACTGGTCCGCTCACTGGTTGAGCACAGTGCGGGCGC